AAAGCAAACAATCACGTAAAAAATAAAAACGCATTTCCCTAAATCCTGACTTCACTATGGACTTGAAGCCGAGAGCGGGACTTCGGTCAGGACAGGAGCGGCTTCTTCACACCGAGTAGTAGGGGTGTGGAACAAGCCAATACCCCACACAAAACACGTCCCAGCGGCCCCATGATCTGACAACCCGCTCGCCTACCGATGTCGATCTGGACCTTGGCGTAGTCCAGCTGCAGCCGGATCAGCTCCTTCTCCTTCTGCCACAGCTCCGACACCTTGGCGTCCTTGCTCTTGTGCAGCTCCTCCAGCTGGACCTTGAGAGTCTCCACGGCCGCCTTGTCCTTGGGGTCATTGGCGGCCTTCTGGATGGCGTTGATCATGTTGCCCAGGATGGGCACCACGGCCGCCACGATGGCGAACTTGCGGTCCCGCTCCCCGATGCTGATGATGAGGCCCTGCAGCTCCTTGTTCTTGTCCTGGATGTCCTTCTCCATCTGGTCCCTCTCCCCCTGCAGCTGTTTGACCGTGGTGTCCAGCTTGCTGGACTGTCCCTCCAGGGCCTGGGCCTCCGCGCTCTTCTCCTTCTTCTGCTGCTCCTTGTCCGCCTTGGTCTTGACCACGTCGCTGCAGGTGTCGCCCACGCCCCTGCCCAGAGCCTCGTACCTGGAAGAGACGGGAGTGGTAAGCCTCTTGTGAAGAGGAGAGGTCGCAGGTTATGGGACAGGAGAATCCCAGCAAGCGAGCCAGGCAGGGTTGTGTGCTGTACACCAAGAGGGGTGAGAGGGGGAACAAGCCGCTCAGTTAGAACAGGATATCTCCTTTCATGTTCTTACAAGCAGCCAGAGTCTTTGGCTCTTTCCAATGGCTGGTTCCCACAAAACGAAGCCAGAGCTTACTTCTCCACCGAGCGGTCCACCTGGTGGCAGATGTCCTCGATCCAGCCCTTCGACTTGTCCAGGAACTTCTTGGCCAGCTCCACGTTCCTCTTCTTCACCGCCGTCCGGATCATCGGCAGCATGGTGCCAAGGATGTTGGTCGCTGTACTGGCGCACTGCGAGCGAGAGATCAAGCATCAGCACCATTGCTCCCATCGCCCCACCCCTTCAAGCTCGAGTTAAGGATGCCCCTTATCCGGCCTACTTAAATCCTGTGGCCCTGCAGAACCACAAAACAGCTGGTAGGACCCTCATGCTAATGACCTTGCCGTCAGCAGCCATTTCGGCTCTTCTATGGAGCTATACCTGAGCCAAAATGGCTTCCACAGGCCAAAGCCACTGGGGTGTCCTCAGTATTAACTGACCAGTTCAAGGGCACTTCATTCAACTAGGAATGCAACTCTCTATGGCAATTTTAGCACCCATCTCCTCAAACATCACACTGACATTTATGCCAAAGGTATAGTTCTTCCACCCCCCCCCACCATGAAGACCTGGGATAAGGGGTTGAAAAGGTTTCATAGAACTAAGACATCAATAGTCATGAGCCAAAACAAGTCTTCCATTAGATCCAGATGAAAAGAGAAAGTCTCACTTATTAGATGCCCACACCACCAAGCTGAAGGGTTACACG